AGAGGCACCTTCAGGGCCGCCCCCCCCCCCCCCCCCCCCCCCCCCCCGGGCCCCCCCGGTTAATCTTTTATTTTCTGTGTTTTTTTGCGCACATTCAAAATGGTGAGTTGAGAGCTGCTGCCCAGACTAAGTTGAAGAAAAAGGGGAGAAGGTAAACAGTTTGGCTGGAAGAAGAGCCGGGGAGGTTTCCCTCATCAGGAATTAAAAAAAAAAAAAAAAAAAAAATTATATGTCTCTCTAGACAACTGCTTTGAGTTTCCTCGTTCTGTCAAGTATAGGATTCCCTCTTTAAAGAGGCCTTAGTTACTCTATTTTTGTCACGAAATATTTGCTCATATTTCCTTTAAGATGGCAGTCACGTTGCTGAAGACTAACAGGTCATTTGAAGAGTATGTAAATAAACATAAAAAAATAACAGAAATAAACGTGAACAGTTTTTGTGATTGTCTTCCGGATTTCATGTCTTTTTTATATGAAATAACTGAATCATCTATTACAGACATGCAACCTTGGTGTAAAACTCAACAGTATAAAGAAAGGAGTATTATTAAGTAAATGCTTAATGTTGGGACATCTTCGTCCTCCATTGTCACATCAGGATTTAGATTTGGTGCTCATCTTTCAAAGTGCTCTCACAAATGCATCTTTAAAGACACATGTATCTGCAGAGTTGTCTTTCTCGGGGGTGGGGAATGAGGGTTACGTGAGCACATTTGTTTAGCATAGCGCTTTTTTCCTCACCTAATTATGTATTTTGGATGTAGTCTCTTGTTTTATGTAGGCCTTCCTAATACTTTCCTAAGAGTACATTATATTTCTTTAATTTTTTTTGGACTTCAGTTAAACTTTTCTATTGAAAGCCGTTTAAGTTTATTGCAGTTGAAAGTTATGCTTTCTACTAAATGTAACTAACTTATTGATTGATTAATCCTGAATTGTAAGCTTTAAATCTTTGCTTTTAAAACATTTCACGATATGGAAGACAGTAATCTAGAAAGAGTAATTCCCACTGTCCCTTCTAGTATTACCTCCACCCAAGATTCAGCCACTGCTAATAAGGGGAAAAACTTTGTGTGTGATCATTTCCAGAGCACATATCCATAGAAAGAATTGCACAGGTAAAGGATGTGAATATTTAAAGTTGATAGCCATCTAACCCTCATTATAACTCTTTTCAAAGATAGTTTGACTCTTTCTTGAGTATTTCTTCTAGGAGATCTTCAGACCACATGTGATTTAAATTCTAGTAACCCTATTTTGAATTAGGTTATATATAAATTCTCAGAACTATTTTATAGTCTTAAGCCCTTTTCCAAGATTGTTCTTGTCAATTTATTCACATCTTGCTTTATATAAAAGCTTTAGTTATCCCGCACATGTTTATAACATCTTTTTCAATAGTTTCAGTTCCTTTATGGTTGGGTTGCTATAGTAGATAAAAACTAAAAGATAACATTTTCCCTGTGTCTGGCAATAAAAAAGCTTTTAATTTTTTTTTCTGTTTTTCAGGGTGCTGATATTTTTATCTAGTTGATAATTATCTGAAAATAGTTTTCCTTTACAGTGTTTATAACATTCTGTTCAGAGTATTGCCCAATAGGTGCTGCATATTGTTGAATAGTAGTGCTAATAGTTAAACTCTGGTGTTAGTTCTTACTTTAAGGTGAATGCTTCTGCGTGCTGGCATTAAATGATACTTCACAGAGCTTCCTAATAGGCAATATTAAGTTAAAATATGCCCTCCTATTTTTAGTTTGCAAGATAATGTTTTCATCCTTAAAAACATATTTAAAGTGTATGTTTGTGTATGTGTGTGTTAAGTGTGCATGTGGAGGTCAGAGGACAACCTATTGGAGTTGGTTCATAGACCCATGGGCTTCTGGAGATTGCGTGTTGTCTGGCTGTGTGGCAAGGACCCTTACCTCCTCCTGCCTCACTGCCTCCTATTGCTTTCATTCTTGTTAATATTTTTTTAAAACCTTAAGTAGTGAATGTTAAGTTTTTTTCTTTTTCTATTTTTTTTTTGACGTCTTTTATATGTGGTTCTATTTGGATTTTACCAGTGGTTCCTGTATACTAGTTTCTTAAGAGATTATCTTTTCAAAAAGTCAGTTTTATTGAGAGTAAATTAGAAATAATGAACTGTACTTCTTTTTAAATATACAGCTCATTTTGTTTTTCTAAAAGTATATTCTTACATCATTACCATCACAAGAGTAGAATATATAACACAATCAGGGATAGTGTTTTCATCTCTGAAAACTTCTGTTCTTTGTAGTCAACCACACTTTGAGCCCCAAGAAACCACTTACCATTTTCTCATTGAACATTGCTTTTTCTTCATCTGCTCTATAATATAAATGTAATTATTTCTTTTGTATCTGACATTTCCCAGTATCATGTTTTTGAAGATCGTTGTGCATGTTATATCTTACTGGTTTACTTCTTTTTATTGTCAAGTAGTTCATGATGGTTGACTTACTGTTTTAGTTGTTTAATATTTAATGTATGTATGGATATTTGGTTTGCCGATTTTTGGTTATTAATAAAGTTGCTGTGAACATTTATTCTGAGTTCTTGTGTGAATTAAAATGTTTTTGTATCCTGAAAAATACCTAGAAGTGATATTTATGGGCTAGTATAGAAAGTGAATGTTTAATCATTTTCCCATTTTACTTGTCTGCTAGTGACACATGACAGTTTGGTTTATCCACATTCTCATACCATTCTAGTGTGTGTAAAATAGCATCACACTGATTTTTATTTTTCTTGGTTCACTTGAAAAGAGATCTTGTTTCGTAGCTGAGGTGGTCATGAGCTCATTCTATAGTCCAGGCTAGCATTGAACTCTCAGTCCTCCTGTCTCATGTACAGGCATCCCATCATCCCTCAGTCGCAGTGACTTTTAGTACTGGGTGACTGGGGATGCTGATAAGCTTGTGTATGTTTCATTGGTAAAGGCTTCTTTTAGCCATTTTAAAAAATTAGCTTCTCAATGAATTATAAAATTTTTAAAATGTTTTTATGGAGCTGTATTGACAAACATGAAAACATTTCAATATGAAAATTTGTTTTGTTTTATTTGAAAACTAAACATGAGGAGCTGAGGGGATGGCTCTGCAGTTAAGAGCACTTGCTGCTCTTCCAGAGGACCCACCTTCAGTTCTCAGCACCCAAATTGGTCTGCTCACAAAGGCCTCAATGTTCACAAGCAGCAACTCCAGCTTCTTGGAATTTAATGTTGTCTCCTGGCCGCTGTAAGGGCAACTTTTAGTCCCCTGAAGTAGTTGTCATCCCAGAGGCTTACTGCCTCCATCTGCTAACCTAAGCCTAGTCCTGGAAGCTTCTAATCTCCGTACAATATAATCTAGGCCTAGAATGTTTACAGCCTCTGAGACTTATTGCTGAATAAGCTTACTTTTGTAGTTCTTTCTGAACTCTAGTTAGCTGGTTCAACTCAGCTGTTCTGGCTCAAACTCCCCTCCAAGCTGACTGGTTCAATCTGGTTTCTCTGTCTGCCTCTGGACTGAATTGCTCTGCTTGGCCTCATACTAACTTGCAATCTGTTCTAATCATCTGGCTCCTACTCATTCTGTCTTGCTCTGTCTTCACATGTGTCTAGCTTGTTCTCTGTCTCTCTCTGTAAAACTCTCCTGGTAAAACTGCCTCCTCTCATTCTTTGTGCTGCTCCCTTAAGTTGTTTCCTTTTTGTCTCTTTTCTCTTGAGAGTTGGGCATATCTTGTTCTGTCAAATCTTTCTCTGATTTGTCACTGTTTCTGCCACTCAGTTAGACATCACTTTCAAACGTGGGTGCTGCCCTCTACAAACTGGCTTTTTTGTTTGGAATTAAAGGTGTGTACCTCTCCCCTCTCCTCACTACCACCACTGCCTAGGCTTTTTTTTTTTTTTTTTACTTGAAATTTGCTTTATACCAGGCTGGCCTTGAACTCAGAGATCCTGAGATCTCTGAGATTAAATGCAAGTACCACCATTGCCTGGCATGTCTGCATTTCAGCCAGATCACACAGACCTGGAGAGTCTTTGGATGTAATCTTTTGTCAGAGCAGCCATGTTTTGAATTAAAATTCCTTCATAGGCCACCATGGGTACCTTCACTCACGTGGCACACACAAATAAAGATAAGTTAAAAGGGCTTTTAATTAGAATTAATTTGGCTAATGAATTTCCTAATGAGTTGTGCTTCTGTGTTCTGAGAATTCTTTGCCAATTGCAAAGTAGTGGAAGTTTCTTCTTATGGTTTTGGCTACATATTTAATAGTTTTGGTTCTTATATCAAGATATTTTACACATTTTGAGTTAGATTTTTGTTTAAGGCATGAGGAAAGGTTGAAGGCTTGTTTTCTTATCCCAGTGGGTAAGTTCTGTTTGTGGAGAACATT